CTTTGTCTATGAGGACGATATCGGGTTTATTGTAGTCCACTATCCATGTTCGAGTACTGCCGAGGACCGGTATTTATAATACGGTTGGTATGTTTCTAGAAGGCCATACATTAAGGGTAGTTGGAGATGGATAATTTTAGCAAGTTGGTTGTGACAGCCCAAATATATATTATGATTATTATAACTGGAAAATGTCACTTGGAAAACCATTAGCTAAAAATAATGTCCCGACAAGTTTCAATGACGTAATAAGTATATTACCGGCACCATCAAAAATATACGAAAAAGTTCTTTATAATCAAATGTATACCTATATAATGGATAATAGAATATTACCAGCAAGTTAGTGCGGGTTTAAGCGGAAGTCAAGTACTGCGAATGCTCTTAGAAGTGTCATTGATGAACGAGCCACTGACAAAAAAGTGCCGTATTCAAAGGTTGCAAAATGCTTATGTTCGTTTTATTAAGGGTTTTCGAAAATATGACTATGTATCTGCTGCATATCGTCAACTTAATTGACTTAAAATGGAACAAAGAAGAGCTCTTCATTTCAAGGTATTCGTGAATGTAAGATACAGATACAGACTAACGATGCCAAATCTTCAGAGCGCCTTGTTTCGTAGATCTTTCACATTCAACGCAATTCGTGTTTATAATTCTTCGTCACAGGAATTCATTAACTTAAATTTATATTCATTTAAAAAAAGGTACAAAGATCATTTGTTACAAATACAGTTTTCCTAATAATGTGTTACTAATTATGTTATTAGCAAGGGATTATATTGGCTTATCAAATTCTTTGCAGGTATTTTTCATATTTTATTTGTTGTACTTGCATTTTTTATTTCAATAAATAGTGCGCAATTTATTAATTATATAAATAGTTCTTTAGCGGTGCAGTAGATTAGCTATTTATAGCTAGACCGCATCGCTTTTGAGCTATCCGTTTACCGTGTTTTGAAAAATATTAATATTGTGTTTTTTTTTTGTTATAATAAAGGCTATTTATTATTATTATTATTATTAGTATTTAATTTAGTTTTCATCTAATACTAAGGAAAAGGTGATGAGTAATTGCAAAAATATAATTTTTAAATTTAATTTTGTGATCGAACGTGCCATATAAAATCGATAACATAGTTGGAATGGCTTGTAATAAATAATGGGAACGAAAATGTGTAAGTTAACGTGTGAATATGGTAGACAATTGTACAAGCTGCTTTTTAAAATCGGCCAAGAATAAGATTAAGTTATCTCCTAACCAGTCATTTCCTTGAAACCCCACGTGAGCCCCAAACCTGCGGCTTGAGTAAACTGGCTTCAACTGACAAGTTAATGAAATACAAACTTTTGCGCATTCCGTTTCACTTACTGGTTCAGTTTAAAAATAAATAACTATTAGCCCTTAGATTTTTATAAATAACTAAGATTCTTCTTAAGTCCTTTCTAATCTAATTTAGTTTTATTATTTAATTTAAATTTGTATAGTTACTATTTTACTATACCGATTGACACAAGAAAGTGGGAACTCTAAACTAACAACCTATATTTTTTGCATTTCTGGATTCACGAGATCATTCGACATATGATAGGACGGGTTGTCTCATTTTTCTTTTTATTTTTTTAAATTTTCATTTAATTTTTGAAAATTGTGTCTAAATACTATTTACCGGGTCACGTGATCATGGGAAAAATTGTAAGTGAAACTTTTCTTTACCAGTCTAATGGCAAATAGCAGTAGATGAATCCAGCAGAACTGTTAATAATATAGATAAAGTTGAAGCTGTGAAAGATCCCAGAATATTTCTTACACATCTACAATATAACGAGCAGTTTAGCTTGACTACAGAACAGGAGAGAATGTCTCGATATTGTTCTTTCTTTTTAAGATTGTTAATAATGTAGCTATCTATTTATAGTTATATATTTATATGAAATCTGCTGTCTTCAACTAATTTTTTACATATTTATTTTAGTTCCATTGTCAGCTATTATATATTATGGTTATATATTACTAGTTTAATAAGTAAATACAACTAATATCTATTAACTATTTTTATTGATAAATTCGCAATTTTCACATATTTTATTGAATATTGGAATGCATAAATACCTTGTTAGATCGCAGCATTATTCTATCTATGGTCTAAAAGTGGATTTAGCTGAATAAAGCCCTTTATTTTTCATAAGTTTCTTTCTCTTCTTTATTTTGCGCATTAATTACTAAGTTAATAGAAGTAACAAACTATAATTAAGCATAAAAATTGGGCGTAATGTCATTAAAATTTAAAACAAATAAAAAACAATTTTAAAGTATTTTTTTTATATTTTTACATTTTTATTTAATTTTTGAAAATTGTTTCTAAATACTATTTACTAATTAAATTTTTCTAGAAATGATAGGAGATTGTATTGTATTGTATGTGAAATTTCGTACGTCCGCCACTGGTGTATTTAAGAAAAATTGTGTTACACTAAATAATGCCTCTTGTGGTATTACAGATATTAAAAAACATATTTTATTTCACCACCCCGTATCTCAAAAGTGAAGACGTTTAGGAAATTTATCTTTTTAAGGTGGACCCAGTTTAATGCTAGAGAGCTAATATCTAGAACGCCTGTTTAATTCTTTACCCCTGAATATAGTACAAATTTAGGAAACAACCTCACCAATATCTTTTGAAAGGAAATTACAACAATTATACTTGTACCAGAAATATAGTGCTTTTACCGGGACCGTCCTAGGAATTTATCTACCTACACTAGCAAGCGGAATAAAGTATATTTTCTATCTTTCTATCTTTATTAAAATGTTGTATTTTTAATAATTCCAGAAGTTGTTTTTTCACGTAGCTCTCTTCAAAATATAAATCATTTTCGTACAGAAATTCTCTAATTTCTTCATTATTTGAAGAAGTATTTGGAATTGTTCTAATTTTTAATTATCCAACACAATAAAAGTATTTGCAGATACTTTTGGGAACAGATTATTTTGAAACCAGTCCTCAAATATTTCCGCTATCATGTTTTCATGGTAATCCACACTTGAATCTTTGACGTTTTTGGAAGGCATCTTCCACCCTTTTTGGACCCAGCATGAAGCATTATTACGCGTTTTCCATGTGAAGGCGACACGTCTAGTACACACTAGTTATTTTCGAAAAATCGATGAAATCGAATTTTTCGAAAATATACGCGCTTGGCAAGGAAACTTATATCTCGGCAACCGTAGGTCCTAGGGGGCCGCCATTGGTACAGAAATGATCAGCGTAGAAAAAAAAAACTTTTTCTTTTCTGTTCTCCGTTTCTCTGTAGACCTGGCATTAATTGGCTACATCTTTTGAACGGTTTGCAGCACGACCTTCAAATTTGGCTCCTTTTAAGCCGTGCACAAGGTACACAAACCAGTAAAAAATGGGTATGATCAAACCAAGGCGTCCATCTTTTTTTTTCGATTTTCATCTGTTTTTTGGACTTCGCTATGAAACACGATAAGTGTCCGAAATTTGAAGCCATCCACTTGAAATTTGACACATATATAGAATTTAGCTCCGTAACGAAACCTATTGAAACTAGGGGGGCTGGGGGGTCGAGAAGTATTTTTAAAAAATTAAAAACCGCACTTGCAGGGTATCGAGAAAAAAAATCATATCTCCAAGACGCTACGTACGATTGAAAAAATTCTTTAACCAAACGATGCCCAACATCCGGACCAAAAACCTTTATTCTTGATGATTTTTTAAAAATGTAGAGGGTGCATCGGTAATTTGCAAAAAACTGATAATGTAATGATAATTGACGATAACAAGAGGGCTGTGATTCTGTTGCCAGTTTTTTTTACATAGCTAAAACACCTAAAACTTCTGTATTTAAAGTTTTCACATACTGTACAGGGTGATCGGGATATTCCGTACTATATTCAAAAACGTCATAAGTGACCCAAATATGTAGCTATCGATTTTAAATTTGGCAAGGAAGTAAAAGTCCATACCCACATCTAAACAGTAGAATTTGAGCGTAATCACCAAATATATTTTTTTTAATTTTGAAAAATTTTCTTTGAATATTTTGGCTTCCAGAAAAACATAATTTTCTCAAAAACTATTCAACCGATCAGAAAAATTGTAGAACCAGGAAATGCGGGAAATCGGGGGCTATGACTTTTATGTCAGACATTTTTTCAATTGTATACAGGGTTTTTCAATGATGGACAAAAATCAAAAAGACCATGAAAATCGTTCTTTTCCCTATTAAATTATTAGCAGAAAATCAAAATTCGTGAAAAATATGGCCAATTAGTTTAAACAGTGTAATAAGCCACATCGAGAGCTACAATGTTTGTATTTACGAATTTCGTATATCACATACGCTGTTCGAGATATTTGAAAAAATCCAAATGACAATCACAATCGAGACGCGATGAAGTCATTGATTATTACGGCGTACTGCATGGTTTCGGAAAACCAATATTTTCTTGAAAATCATACATCAGGAAACGTGGGAGATCCAGGGCTATCACCCCTATTTCGAACTTGTTTGAATTATATACAGGGTGTGTCGATTATTGGCAGAAAATCTAAAAGTTCCTTAAAATTTCCGTTTTTGTGGCTAAATTATTGGCGATTAATGAAAAACTGCTAAAGATGGGATAATTTGAACAGCATAGTAAACTGTTAGGAGAGAGAGTTTCAAGTTTTGTCGACGACGCTTTTATTTGTACCAATTTTAATATTTACCGAAGTTTGCCGTAACTCTGAAGTTCGAAGAGATGTGAAGGACACTTTATACACAATTAAATGACATCGATTTTGCGAAAGTTCCATAGTGGTCTGCAGGAGCACGAACCGCGAAGTTCTTCTGCTTAGCGTACCTTTGAAATTGATTACGTTAGCTCGTCACGTTGGGGTGCGTTGTTTTAAAATAAATAAACACAATTTCCGATTTTTTTGCTAAATACGCTTTACTTAGTTTACTTGCACTCTAACACTGCCATTTTGCAGGTTCTGATATGGACGATGACGCGGAAGACACCCAGAATTCCGACGGGCCTTGCGAGGGTACCGCGTCGACCAAAGCTCGCAGAAGGAGAACCGCCTTCACCAGCGAGCAACTCCTCGAACTCGAGAGGGAATTCCACGCGAAAAAATATCTATCGCTAACCGAGCGAAGTCAGATAGCGTCGGCGCTACGACTCAGCGAGGTCCAAGTGAAAATTTGGTTCCAAAACCGTAGGGCCAAATGGAAACGCGTCAAAGCCGGTTTGGGCACGGGACCTCATCAGACAGGCAAAGGGACGCAACAGAAGAGCAAACTGGTGGTTCCCATACCGGTGCACGTCAATCGATTCGCCGTTAGAAGTCAACATCAGCAGCTGGAGAGGGCGCTGGGAGATTTGGCCGGTAGGGTTCTAGCTAGTCACGCGGCGTTGAGGGCGGGTTTGGATTTCCACGGGTACCATCCCCATCACCATTCGCCCCCGCATTAACCTGACGGACTCGGAAAGAGTATGGAAAAACAGTGATGAAGTTGTGATGTTTAACTCTATGAGGTTCGGGATGCGAAACCGGAGCAACGTGCAGAGCGTGAAATATAAATAGCGTCTTTTTAGCCTACAATTAGACCTCGAATATATAATGTGCTAGCTTTTCGCGAAGCACTCAACAGAATATTCACGTTTTTTTTTTTAATTACGACGTAAAGTCGCGTATTTTATTGCACCCGCTAGGGGCTTTCGGAATATACGAGGTAGGTTCAAAAAGTAAGGCGAGTTTTGTAATTGGACGGGCTACGTATATAGTTATATTATATTATTATTATATTATATTTTGACACCCACCTGCAGGGTTAACTTTGAAAGTTTGAAGCTTTTTGCTCTGTCAATGCTGTTCAAATATTCACGATGCAGAAAAGGGCTATAAGACTTCTTGCTGGGGCTAGGCACAATGAACACTGTACCCCATATTTTGAAAAATATAAGATAATGACACTGCCCTGTATATATATATTCTCCACAATCTTTTAGAAATTAACAAACATACTAACATATTTGAAGGTGTGTCTCATAGTCATCCAACACGTGGAAAAAATCTTATAAGAGTTCCAGATAGGTACATATGGCTTTTGAGGTATTCAAAACAAATATTAAAGTGTTGCTTATTGAAAATTCTTTCTATAGTGTGGACGAGTACTCAAACACAATAAAAAAACTAAATTAAAATCCTTGGCTTACTGAAATGTGTGAAGATCTTAGCATACTACCTTGCAGTTTCTGTACGATTTTTATACTCCGTGTTAGCGTTGTTGACCTTTACATTTTTTATTGTCCACTGTTGTGTTATTTATAAAATACATTTTTTTTACACCTTTATACCTTTTACATTTTGTTTTTAAATTTTACCTTATAATGACAGGCTACAATTGTATTATTATTGTACAATATGTGGTCAATAAAATTCTTCTTCTTTTTCTGCTTCTTCTTCTTCTATTATCTTATGCAACATCTTTTTTTTTTAATGGAATGCCCTGTATATTATTAGTTTAAATCGTAGATATTTTTTTGTTCCTTATTTCAAAAACATACAGTTCATTGGCCGTTTTTGTCAATCGTCAAGTCTGCCTTGATAGCAACCATACTATCTACGTTTGCATACACTAATAAAAACTAAAGACCTGCAGAGTAAGTTAAATAACTTGTAACTTATACTGAGGATGAAAAACGCCAAATATTAAAATTATATTATTCAAATTATGAAAATATGAATGGTTAATTCTAAGCATTTTCCACATAAAATCCATTGACAAAATTTTGTCTGAAAGTCAGCACGGTTTCAGAATAGGTAGATCAACCCAAACAGCGATCCATTCGTTTTTGGAGCAAGCTATCAACTATATCGAGTCTAGAGAGACCCTGCTGGGATATTTTGTGATCTTAACAGGCCATTTGACTGTATGAACCACGAAATTCTTTTGAATAAGATGGAACAATACGGAAATCGTGGAATAGCTCTGAACTGGTTCAGACCGTCCTTAACAAATCGTAGGCAGTACGTTGAAATAAGGCAGGAGAGGGGCAACTTGTGTCAAATTAAAAAATCTCAAGTCAAGAATAATATTTTAAGAACACTCCTAAACATATTTTTTTAAAATAGTGTGTAACGCAATGTATTATACCGTCATGCGCAAAAATGCAGCCTCAATATTTTAATACAAAGACATTGTCGTTACCGTATCGCCATCTTTTCAACTCACCCTGTATATTTCATCCAAATGTTCAAAGGTGAACGTGAATCTCTTGATATTCGATATTCTGATGATAAGTGTTTATGAAACCATGGCTAATTTTGGGCGCAAAATACGCTATTTAAATATTTTAACTCAACCTCGATCGCCCTGTATAAAAGAAGTCTTTTATTTAGTAATCGGCAAATCATTCTGAGAAGGAGAGTGTCTAACTGATGTTCCTTATACCAACATGTTTTCGATGTCAACGCAGATAGTACAACACAAAATTGTAAAATAGTTTGGTTTGGAAAATTCACAGAACATAAGAAAAAAAAATCATTAAATGGAGTTAAAGAAAAAGTCAGCAAGAGCACTTGTACATACGTACAGATGCGCATATGGCTCCAAGTTTTAAACCTGATTTACATTTTCAGTAAGAGACTCTACAAAAATCGATCGAAGTGATGATGTTATTTTTAACTAAAGGTTTGTGATCAGTATGAGCACAGAATAAACAACCATATTCTGTGATCTGAACATAGATTGGATAAAACCTCTTTGGGATTTTATTCCTTCAGTGTTTCTGAAACTTTAAATCCGTCTTTAAACTAAGTGGAGTTTTGAGACCTCCGGATGCTAAGAAACAAGTAGTTTTTAATATCAGTCAGGCTGAGTGATTCTGTAGAAATGTCAAAACCTCAAAGAGGTTTGAGTTTCGCATTTTGTTTACGTGCAATAGAAATTATTATATTAATTTATTGAAATTAGGGTCTCAGATACTTAACGCACCTTTTTTACCATTTATAGTCCGGTCGAGATAGATATTTGAGATAACAAAAATCCCTAAATAGGTTATGTGCTTAAAATTTGCGTTTTTTTTTTGGACTTTTTACCAAGTTGCAACGCTAAAAAGTACTGTGGGATTGTCTCCAAAAATGGTTCTTTTACTTTTATTTAGGATTCACCCTTTCTAGGATATACTTACGAGGGCAGCGCCAAAATTTCCCGGCCTGAATATGAAAGAAACAAAGTGGAGTAACATTTTTTTTTTCAATATAATCCCACTTAACTTCAATACACTTATTACATCTCTTTATTAACATTTTAAAAAGCATTCTTTTGGTTTGTCTGCAAAATGAGCTAAAACAGCCTCTTTTAACTCAACTTCGTCGTTAAACCGCTGTCCACGTAAGTCGTTTTTCAAATAACCAAACAAATAATAGTCGCTGGGGCCATATCTGGACTATAGGGAGGGTGATCTATTTGTTGGAACCCACACTCTAAAATGGCAGCTTGTGCAACACCAGCAGTATGGACAGGTGCATTATCGTCCAAAAGACGCACGCCTCTGGCAAGTTTTCCTCGACGTTTTACACGTATGCAGTCTCGCAATTTATGTAATAATGTTCAGTAATATTTACCATTGACAGTGGTATTAGTTTCTTTAAAATATATCAAAAGAATTCCTTCACAATCCCAATAGATTGTGGCCATCACCTTTTTGTTGACTGGCTATTTTTATAATCTTGTCATATTTAGCATTAATAATTAACGCAATTTACCTAATATTTTTACTCTTTGAAATATTTGTCAATCACAAAAAATATGCTGTTGACATATAAGTTCAGTTAATGTGAGGTGGTTACGATGGCGTTTGAACAAAACGAGTGCAAAAGTGCTTTGACTAGGATTTACTATTTCATAGTTGACAATAATCTTACCGATGCGCTTATGAAAATCCACGCGGCATTTCTCTATGATAGTATGAAAGAAAGACTCCCCATATGACGCCTTTAACTATGAATTTCTTTCGCTTCAAACATCACTTCAACTCGTGTAACTTTCTTCAGTTCTTCAGTGTTTGTTTCTGTTCCATTTTCCATCCACGAGATCTGGATTTTCCTTTTTGAACAAAAACTTAATAGGCGTATATAAATATAAATCTCTCAACTTAGAACGGCGATATCTTACTTATAATGATTCCTAGGGGAAGAAATATAAGGACCACTGTTGTAGCTAATTTTGATGATCTACAATTGGAGATCTTGGATATTTTTTTGAGGAAAATCCCAAAAACGTGTGACTTTTGACATTGAATAACTTTTTTATTACCCATGGGAGCGATAGTGAATTTTGGGCACTAATTCTAGTGGTTATCTTATTATTATTTTTATGTCTACTTTGACCGGATTATTCATTATGCATTATATATGTAAATAGAGAAGATATTGTAAAAATATATACATGTAAGTGACGAGTATTGTTTTATGATTCAAATCATTCCCAGTGCAACACACTCCCTCCTCAGATCACCCTCTAAAAGGTTTTCTATAGGAGAAAAGTGATATGGATAAAGATTTCCTTGGAGAAAAACTCTTATTCTTAATTCCGAAGTTTCAGCTATTATTCAAAAGTATAACAAAATTTTTTTATTAAAATATTGCGTTTATTCTATAGATGAATATTTTACTACACTATTTTAAAAAATAACAAATAAAATACACATTATAAAACATAAATAAATAAATATTATTATTATTCTTAATTTTTCAAAGAAACTTCCACAGGCTGCTGTAAAATTATTTCCTGCTGCGTCGCTTTTTCTTGAGTCGAACTTGCTGACGTTTCGCCAATCATCCTGTTGGCTTCTTCAGAGCTTGACTGAAGCTGGTTCGCATTTTACTCTGTACCTCCTTATATATTGTTTGAGGGGAGCGGAGCTAAATGAGAGGCATAAATACCGTGGTGACAGATAGAGACCTGGGTCGCGGTTAAGATTGTTTGGTTGTCTATAGATTTCTATAAAGTCCCGGATTAGTCTTAGTCTTAAAACTCTTTCATGTTCTTTGAGCCTAATTGATATTTTTCCTCCGGTATCCCCAATATATTCTTTGCCGCATATGCATGGAATGCTGTAAACTCCTGTCATATCAAGTGGAATTTTGTCTTTGACGGATCGATGATGTCTTGAAATGTCTGAAAATGTAGAAAACACTATTCTATTGAGACTAAGGAAGTTATAAACAATGTTTATTTGACTCTCATTGAACGTGGTGCCTGCAAGCAAGCATCTTTAGAAGAAACGGGTACATGGACGAAAATTCCAACATCAACTGTATGGAAAATTGTGAATAATCCCATTTCAGCGAGGAAAAAAAGAAGCCATGCTGACATTTTCTCGAGTGTAGATAAAAGTGATCAAGATATAATATGGCGTAAAATTTACCAGTTTTACGAGAAACAAAGCGTGCCTACATTAGTTAT